TGCGAGCCTTCCTCAAGTATTCAGGGCGTTTGCGAAACAATCACCGGGTACAACACAACATCATTCCCCAACTCCTTTGGCCATCTGTCTGCACAGCAGATGATAAACTCACGAGAGTACTTCCTCTTCGGATCCGTCCTAAACAACATTTCAAGTTGCTATCCAGACGTCTATACAGCCTTTTGTCGGATGTTTTTGCCTCAGTGTGACAATGGCACGCAGGTAGGAGAATAAATTTGACTGTTACACATAGAAATAGTGAATCTTTTGTCTAGTCAACTCTTTTCGTAACTTGTATCCATTCCATAGCAATGTGCATGTTATACTCCTGCATTATATCATTCATAAATTGATGTCAGTGTTAAGTATATATAGGCATTACTCAAAATTACAGGAGGTAATTGTGATTCATTTATTACTTCTTCTCGACTGCAGATACAGCTGTGCAGAAGTTCCTGTGAGGAAATGAACGCAAGATGCTCACCGGTTGGGTTGAGTTTACCATTTTCATGCAACGTATTTCCCGACCAGATGGACAATCCAACCTGCTCTCTGATCACACAGGCAACAGGTATGTAGAACCGTGTCTTTGTTAACAATCGGAGAATACTGCAGCTGAATGTTCAACGTAGATCTTGAAAATATATGATTTGACAGAATCATCTTGCAATTCATCAAACGACATTTCAATTCACTTCACGTACTGTGATGTTACATTTTATTTACTAACTCTCCTTTTGCTTGTAGCTTTATAAGAAGGAACGGATATTCAACAGCAGTGATACTTTCCCTGCTAATTCCATGCAAAATTGATGATATAGTATCCATATTGCATGCATACTGTAGTATCTGGTATGGCTCGCGAAGCTTCAGTCACCTGTATTTTCTTCATATGTTCCTTTACTTAAGGATGCGAACCAATCCGGTACAGCCGTTGTATGGGTCTGTCGTACTCCCAAACATCCTTCCCGAACATCGTCGGGTGGCCGAATCAAGGTGTTGCTCTCCAACTCGCCCCGTCCGTGATCCCGTCATACGATCCAATCAGTAACTGTCATCCGGACTTGAATCTCTTCATGTGTTCGATTTTGTTTCCGCGGTGTACATCTGAAGGACAAATGTGAGTAACTTGGACAGTTTTATGCAGCAATATCTACCACATTATCATGGAAGTTCATCTGTGTTGGCAGTAATCATCTACATATACATCTATAGGTTACTGAACAATGCCCTCATGGGGCTTAACGTGTGTTGCTAAACTTTATTCAAAAGGGTACACAAGGATTATATTTGTAGATACTGTGATCGTCAAACATTTGACCATAAAGCATTGCTAAAATCGTTCTATTTTACAGACTTCCATGCCGCTTGTTCTGCAATGAGATTAACGCTACATGCGGGGAACGAGCTCAGGCCTCCGGTGTTCAATGGGATGCTTCGATCTGTCTGCGTCTTCCTGACAACAACTGCTCTTCACCAAATGGTGAGTTGAACGAATGGCGTTCTAATAGGTATTTTATCATAGACACAATTACGACTTTCATATTGTTAATGTAGTATCTTTAGTCAGATATTCTATTTGTATATCAGTTGATGCACATATTTTACTGCTATCATGTATATTTAAAAGTCCAATAGGTTTTTGTAAGTCCCACTGTCTACCTGTAGGGAAAGGTACAACTTAGCGTATGTTTGCTGAAAAAAAAACGCTACATCACCTATTGGCTTTTGGAAACATATCAATTAAAATGCGCGTTGGGAAAGATTAAACACGTCGTATTGTCGCTGTATTGTTGTTGAATAAACGCTACCTTTCATATTGTTTTCGGGAACATATAAGCTAAAAGGGGAGGTTCTCCCCCCGTTCGCTTAACCCTAAACAGTACACCTGGGGTCCGCGCGGACCCCAGCACTATATATTATGTAATATCTTTTTTGTTTCTAAAGATTTTTTTCAGAAATTCTAACAAAGTTGTCTCTCAATACAGTGCAGAAAACTCCGTTTCTACCATTTATAAAAAAAATTATATCTGATTTTCTTTTGGGGTCCGCGCGGACCCCAGCCGGCTTTCGATCATAATGGATACACTGGCGTTCTTATACATTACCTTATTTCTGTTTTTATATGTTTTTATGCACTCATCGTATGTCTACCAAGTTTTCAGAGAATAGTGTAGTAATAAAATTAAATTTTAATAACTTTGGTGTAATAATGACGTCATATGACGTCAGAGCTAATAATATAGTCCGCCATATTGGATTTTGACCAATGACGTCATCAAATTAGCATATTCTATGCATATTAAATGATTTAACTTATATTTAATTATGTAAGATGTTATTAATGTTGGAAAAGAAGTGTAATTTTATATAAAACTCAGAAAATTTTTATGTTAAAACCAAAATTACTTCTATTTTCAAAAAAACTACCCGTTGCCATGGCAACACAAAAAACATCAACTTACTAGTACTAAACTAATATGAACTTTTTTCCAGAGACATTTTAGGAAAGGTCTCCAAATTTGATACTTCTAGCGCAAGCCGTTTAGCCGCTATCTGAGATCAAAGTTGGGCCTCAAAAGCCCCTTCAGTCTGAAATGGGTTTAAAAATCGGGTATTTCTTCTTGTCTTCTTTTCTTCACCAAAAAAAATAGAAAAGTTCAAAATGTATGATTTTTGTATGTAATGTGGACACAGAGGTTCCCACATCAGTTTGCAAAACAATTGAGCTGGTAGCATGTTGATAATTTCTAAAAATTAGCAAAAAACTGCTCTGGGGTCCGCGCGGACCCCAGGTGTACAGATTAATCAGTCCGGGAAGGTGTTCTGTTGAGGGTTAAAGCGTGCGTAGAGAAAGATTAAACGCGTCGTATATTTGTCGAATAAACGCTACCTTTCATAAAGTTTTTGTGAACAAGGCGAGCCTATGTTATACCTTTTTATATCAATCCTATATCCTGCCTTGCTGCAAATTATTCGCCATAGGGTGCCGCATAATTTCATCATTTATACGTAATGGTATCTGTTGTTCCAATAAAAACCAGATTACTTACCGCTCTGCAGCTACAATGACTTCCACGACAAAGTCAACAACAGCACCAACATCAAAGATGCCATCACAAACTAAATCTAAGACAACACAGTCACCATCAACAACTACAAAACCAACAACAGAAACGTCGACAACAGCAAAACCAACAACACAGTCAGCATCAACAAGAAAACCAACAACACAGTCGCCGTCAACAACAAAACCAACAACAAAGTCACCATCAACAACGAAACCAACAACACAGTCGCCATCAACAACGAAACCAACAACACAGTCACCATCAACAACGAAACCAACAACACAGACGCCATCAACAACGAAACCAACAACACAGTCGCCATCAACACAAAACAAACAACACAGACGCCATCAACAACGAAACCAACAACACAGTCGCCGTCAACAACGAAACCATCAACAAAGTCACCATCAACAACGAAACCAACAACACAGTCGCCGTCAACAACGAAACCAACAACACAGTCGCCATCAACAACAAAACCAACAACAGAGTCGCTATCAACAGCAAAACCAACAATAGAGTCGCCATCAACAACAAAACCAACAACAGAGTCGCCATCAACAACAATACCAACAACACAGTCACCATCAACAACGAAACCGAAAACACAGACGCCATCAACAACAAAACCAACAACCAGAGTCGCTATCAACAACAAACCAACAACACAGTCGCCATCAACAACAAAACCAACAACAGAGTCGCCATCAACAACAATACCAACAACACAGTCACCATCAACAACGAAACCAACAACACAGACGCCATCAACAACGAAACCAACAACACAGACGCCATCAACAACGAAACCAACAACACAGTCACCATCAACAACGAAACCAACAACACAGTACGCCATCAACAACGAAACCAACAACACAGACGCCATCAACAACAAAACCAACAACACAGACGCCGTCAACAACGAAACCAACAACACAGTCGCCATCAACACAAAACCATCAACAACAGAGTCGCTATCAACAACAAAACCAACAACAGAGTCGCCATCAACAACAAAACCAACAACAGAGTCGCCATCAACAACAATACCAACAACACGGTCACCATTAACTATAAAACCAACCACACAGGCGCCATCAACAACAATATCAACAGAGTCAGCATCAACAACAAAACAAACAACAAAGTCACCATCAACAACGAAACCAACAACACAGTCGCTATCAGCAAAAAAACCGACGACACTGTTAAAATCAACAACAAAACCAACAACTCAGTCACCATCAACAACAAAGCCAACAACACAGTCGCCATCAATACAAAAACCAACAACACAGTCGCTGTCAACAACAAAACCAATAACTACACGGTCGCCGTCAACAACAAAACCACTAACAACAACAAAATCAAGAACACAGTCACCATCAACAAAAAAGGAAACCACACAGTCACCGTCAACAACAAAACAAACAACAGAGTCACCGTCAACAACAAAACCAATAACACCCTCAACACGAAAATCAGCAACACAGTCGCCGTCAACAACAAAACCAACAACACAGTGGCCATTAACAACAAACTCAACAACACAGACGCCATTGACAACAAAACCAACAACTACACAGTCGCCGTCAAGAACAAAACTAACAACACAATCGCTGTCAACAACAAAATCAACAACACAGTGGCCATCAACAACAAAACCGACAACACAGTGGCCATTAACAACAAAACTAACATCACAGACGCCGTTAACAACAAAACCAACAACACAGTCGCCGTCAACAACAAAACCAACTACAAAGTCACCATCAACAACAAAGTCGTCAACAACAAACCCAACAACACAATCGTCATCAACAACAAAACCAACAACAACACAGTCGCCGTCAACTACAAAACCAACAACAAAGTCACCATTAACAACAAAACCAACAACACAGACGCCGTCAACGACAAAACCAACAACACAATTGCCATCAGCAAGAAAACCAACAACACAGTCGCCATCAACAACAAAACAATCAGCAACTACAGTCGCTATCAACACTAAAGCAAGCAACAGCACAGACGTCATTTACAGCAAACGCAACAACACAATCGCCCATAGTGAAGTCAGTTAAACAGTGTCCAAGCCAAATAAGGAGAGGCATCAACTGGCCTGCAACAGACCAGGGGACAGAGTCTATTCAATCCTGTGCAAATGGCACAATCGGCAAGCTTCATATTGCAATTTCCATACAATTACTGTATATCAAAATTGCCTGGTATTGCCTGGTATATTATATTGTTAGTTTACTTTTCGAACCAAATGTTAACTTAGAATATTGTTGCAGATGCCATCCATATAATCAAATCAACATGGACTTATAACGACAGCTCTGTCGTGTCGTGAATCATACGAAGCTTGTATCTCGTTTACCCTGACAAAGTTTGATGAGAAAATCTTTTATCAATTATCACGTTACTTTTTGGACATCGTCATAAATTATATTAGGTAGACGTTCTTTTTTCCTTTTTGTATCTATCAGAAATGTCTGACCAAACATATACTTCACGCCACAGCCCGATGGACATGCGGCAAAGCAGGTACCTGGAAGGGGGATCCCGACGTTAGTAACTGTATATCACCGTGGCTACAGAACATTGTAAGTGCGCCTGCTGTCTCAATGTCTAATGTCTAACTGAACACGCTTCGTGAAATATAACAAGACCTGTTACATTGTGTGTGTGTGTGTGTGTGTGTGTGTGTGTGTATGTGTGTGTGTGTGTGTGTGTGTGTGTGTGACGTGTGACGTATGTGTGTGTGTGTGAGAGGTGTGTGTGTGAGGTGTATGTATATACGTATGACGTGAGTGTGTGTGTGTGACGTGCAGGTGTGCCACGTGTGTGTGTGTCACGTGTGTTTGTCAAGTGTGTGTTTGTGTCACGAGTGTGTGCCACGTGTGTGTGTGTCACGTGTGTTTGTCAAGTGTGTGTTTGTGTCACGAGTGTGTGCCACGTGTGTGTGTCACGTATGTTTGTCAAGTGCGTCTTTGTGTCACGTGTGTGTGTGTGCACGTGCCTTAGGTTCGCACGGATTTTTACTTATCTTATTATGCATAAGTATGTCGTGTTTGTTGTCACACGAAAGTTTAATGTTTATTTCATTGAAGACTGCAGCAAGTGGACCTGCAGAAGGCATTCTTTCCAAGATAGCAGATCACCTAGAAAGTGAAGATCATATATACGGTGGAGATGTCATAAACACTATCGGACTACTGGGTTTGTTGGTAGAGAGACAGGGACAACAACTCAACAACATTTCTCGTGTGGAGGAGGCGAAAGATGTAGTAACCAACTTTTCCAATGTAGGTGCTCGGAGATTTCTCTTGTTTATATTGTTTATTACAGTCAGAAATGTATGAAATATATTGATGATGATGATATTGCATTTTTTCTTTTGTTGCCTAATGATGAAAAGTTTGATTTTAGACATATATCCGGTTAGGAACGCTTTGGAAGTTAAGTTTTTTTTACTACTTTTGTTCTCATAACAGTCGATGATGAGATCTGTGAATGCTCTTCTGCGAAACAATACTGTCACAAGAAATGCATGGTCTGACATCGCCCTGGTAAGTTTTTCCTTATCGCATTTGTTATTATTCATGGCTGAATACCATTATTGACGACTGTTTTCAGCATATGATGTTTACTAGTAACAGTTTAACTTTGTTAAACATATCCTTTGACATTCCATTTGTAGGGGGATAGGTCTGCTGTAGCCTCAGGCATCATGGAAAGCACAGACAAGACCGGTATTCTCTTCGCCAGGACGGTGCCCAACAAAACCCTCTTAATCGTCATGGACAACGTCGGTAAGTTGTAAAACATTGCTGTAGCAATGAAGACTAGAAACAAAAGAAAGCAACTCCCTGCATGATATTTCAATTTTTTTAAAATTCTATCATAGTGATGAACATTGGTACTACATCTGATGGAGTGTCTACGTTTCCGGTTCTAACAAACGTAAACGCTTCTTCCGGCTGGGAGAACGTGACAGACGGAATCACCCTCCCCAAATCACAACACCCTGTCGTATCTGTACTCTACAACACGTCTCTGGGAGAGTATCTTCGATCCAAATCGTCGGAGAGGACTGTCAACTCTCGGATTATCTCGGCAACACTGGTAAACCGAAACTCCTCAGATGACGCCAGGGTCGCAGGCAATGTGACCATAGTTCTGGAACACACGGAGAAGGTAACGCTACATTTAATAAGACTAACTGTATCAGATTATTGCAGTTTTACTGATAAACTTATTTGTTGGAATAGAGAAGTAACTTGAAATAAAAGTAGAAATATTCTAATTTTTTTTCCAGACTAGTAACATATCATCGTGTGTTTTCTGGAACATCACTGAAGGGTAAGCATTTTTTTTATATTTTACATAGATCTCATTGATTAAAATTCTTTGTACATTTGTTACACGTGCTAGCTTTTATTGTTTAAATCGATTTGTATCCGCGTGATTTATAATTGTGAATAGATCCATTACATTATTATTAATCTTTTGTTACATATTGCCTTTCCTCTCGCAGGGACTGGTCCGATAAGGGATGTACGAAAAAGAACACATCAGACACACAGCAGACAGTGTGCGTGTGTAACCATCTCACCAGCTTTGCCATTCTAGTGGATGTGACAGGTCAAGAGGTATAAGAGGCAACGTAAAATGTTTACAAGTGGGCTATATTGGAAGGCATTTTTCTTAGCAAATATACATTTCGATTCCCACTATTCATTAACCAATAGATTAAGATGTTTTGGTGACTTTTACATACAGTTTGACCCAACCATCAATATGCAATGCGTGATTCTGTTGACTCTTCCAGCATCCCTTCGCCCTGAGTGTGATCACCTACATCGGCTGTATCATCTCCATCGTGTGTCTCTTCTTCTGCATCTGCGTCTTTCTTGGATTTAGGTGACTACAGTTTTCACTCTATCAAACATTTTCAATTTCTCTAAGAAAATATATATGAGATGTGTTTAACATTACTTGTACATTACTATGAGGTACGGATGCAACAACTTAACATAGTCAGATCCATACCAGCCGCCATCTTGTTTCAGACGAGTCCGTTGCCCCCGAACCATCATCCATGCAAACTTGTGTATCTGCCTGCTGGTCGCTGAAGTGGTCTTCCTGGCTGCAGTCGACAAAACAGAAAATGAGGTACATGTACATCATAATAGTGTCCCTCTAACTGTTTGGTTTTGTATCGTTTTCACTTGTTTCTGAAAATATACACACCACTTTCTTGGTAGTTGTCTTCCTCAAACGCCGAAAGCAGCCTCGCTAATCAACCTATATACTTTATAGATCGCTTGTGACGCAATCGCGATACTCCTTCACTACCTGTTCCTGGCCGTGTTCACCTGGATGTGTGTGGAAGGAGTGGAGCTGTACGTCTTACTGGTCAAGGTCTTCAACTTAAAAATGAACAGGCTGATCTACTATCACCTGGCCGGATATGGTACTGCTTACGTTTTATGTTGCTTAATCCAAACTGTTAACGCTAACATTAACGTTAAATGTTCGGTTGTTGTAGATATACAAGGTTTGCATCAAAATGCACATTACATTGATATGAATCTTTATTGCATGTTCTTGCCCAGATGGGCTAAATGCACATACGTGACCAAATGTGGCCGAGAGGATAAAAACATTGCATACTGGGACGCTATATTCTAATGCTAAGTGCTAGGAGTCAACACTTCTGCTATTTTCATCTAATCCAAAGACTGAGTCATGTAAAAGTACAATGGTTTTGTACAATATATATACTTTACTTACTGTACTTCACATTACTGTGTCATTTCTCTACCACAAGCGCACTGATAGGGGTGAAACTAAATGCCTATGATGTTACCTCGCTCCTCACCTTGTAATGTGTTTTTCTGAAGGAATCCCTGCAATAGTGACCACTATCTCAGCTGCCGTCAACTATGGGCTGAACCTGGAAGGATATGGACGATGGTATGACACGCCGCCGGACATGGAGAAGCGGAAATAGTAATGCGCCCATTGCTTTTTCATCATCTACTATTATAGTCATTCAAAAGAAATACATTTACAAACGACATGTATACATTCATGTTCTGCTACTTAATTAGTGCTGGAAGTCATCTGACATTTTCAATCACTTTTTAAAGCAATGTACCATAATATATGGTCTAATTGAGTTTGTCTTACTGTCTACAAACAAAACGTAAAAAAAACCCTTTTGCCCATCATATCTTTGTATGATTCATAATTTCCTACTGGAAAGTGGAATTTCACTTTAATTTACAATTTCTGTTTTGTCCTTTCCCAGCTGCTGGCTGTCCGTTCAGACTTACTACATCTGGAGCTTCGTGGGTCCCATGCTTCTAGTCATCCTGGTAATTCCTATCTAAGCTTTTATTTTTCATAATCAATATTGTGATGAAATATAAATAAGCAATATTTCACTATTATGATTACTTGCTTTGTATTTATATTCGATTCTTTACAGTACCTGTATAGAACACTTGTTACCTTCGCCAAGAATTGGAGAAGGTTATGTTTTCGTGTCCGTGTGTCTGTCTGTGTGTCTGTGTGTCTGTGTGTCAACAGCATAACTCGAGAAAGCTTAGATGGATTATCTTGATATTTGGTAGGTGGGTAGGTCTTGATGAGAGCTCGAACTGATTAGATTTTGGGCCCCCTGGCGGCTTGTTATGGTACTGCAGCTGAACTTCCGGTTTTGATATCTCATGATCCAGACATGCTAGGGTGACGAAATTTGCATGGTAGGTAGCTCTCGTGCTGGGGAAGAAGTGACGTGCGTTTGGGCCCCCTAGCTGCTTGCTCTGGAACTGCAGGGGCGTTAGTTGAAAAATGTTTAAAGGCTGATAACTCAAGAACCGGTGGATGGATCGTCATGATTTTTGGCATGTAGGTAGCTGAAGTGATGCTTGACATAATGATATTACAATTATGCAAATATTAATGAGGAAAGTCTATTAATCAGCTGCATTCCATGATAGGACTATTCAAGCATGTGTCATACGCAATTGAGAACGGCAGAAATACAGGCAGATATCAATTATGCAAATTAGGACTTAATTTGCATAATTAATGAGAAAATGTCATAGTGGTAACTGCCTGGAATTTCATACTTGGGATATTTGAAAGTTATGTAAAGGTGAACATAATTAAACATAACTTATTCAAATAAGGACCTCATTTGCATAATTTATGAGGAAATACTATAATGGCATTCTTTGATAAGATAAGACTGTCTTCTGGTGTAGAATATGATCTACAGATATAATTGATGCAATATAGGATCCTATTTGCACAATCAGGGGAATTAATCTATAATTTCTTAGCCATAAAGGCTAACCTCATTTGGCGAAGGTATGAGATCGTGGAACTCTAGTTTTATATCATATTTGCAGATAAACCTGGGGTTCCTGGTTATGACGCTGACGATGATTTACAAACAGAGGCTACACGAGAAACCCGGCAAAAAGGGATCAAAGTTCAAGTACGTAAAACGCAGTTGTTTCTATGTAGGAGTGAAACGAAGTGGTGATGAACTGTGTGATATAAAATTGTGATGCTGCCTTAAGTATGCGTGGGAAATCTGGAGAAAATTAGCATTTTCTTCTCAAGCAAAGAATACAGTTGATTTTTTTCACAATCCTCAGTTTATAGCCCCACTTTTAATTGCTATTCGCGTCAGTCCATATAAATGGCAGTATTGATCTATGCCTAACAGTTTCCTTGTTTTTTGGTCGATTTATGATGTTTTCCTATTCCGGTATCCTACCCAGTACAAAAAGGCAATATTTATGTACGCTACTCACGACATTCTATGACATACATGTATTTGCACATGCAGAACACACGCTCAAGCACAGGTTCCATTGTAACATGGAGACACCATATTATCTTTCCAGGTCTTGGGTCCGTGTGTCCTTCACCCTGGTGTGTATTTTGGGTCTCACCTGGATGTTCGGTGTGCTGTACGTCAGCAGGGAGGCCATCGTGTTTGCCTACTTCTTCACCATCATCAACTCCCTCCAAGTATGTGTTGTGATCTAACGATCTAGTAATACTTCTGTTGATGTAATTAAAATACAACACTGGTTTTGATCATGTCTAAAGCTTGTTCCTGAGTTTCTTTTTGAAGCTAAGGATACATTTATACGCAAACCGTTTAATGCGTTTTACAAGCTAATAGTTTTTATATGGGAATTATCCAGAGTAAGACTCCAGGGATAATTGGACCCGTCTAAGCTGAACTTTTCCTGTAATTTCAGGGCCTCTTCATTTTCATATTCCACTGCCTGCTGAACGAACAGGTAGGTACCTTGTCTGTCATTTTCTTTTCAGGAAATAGCTAATATAAAACATCTGGGTCTGTAGCTGAAATGGAACTGTGGTGTATGTTAGATACAGATAGGGCGGGAAAGTGGAAAATTTGCCTTTTCCTGCGGTGAGGCTTTGGTGGTGTACATTCTGTAATCGGGTTTTATCTAAAAACATTGTTACCCAAGCTTAAGATTGAAATAAAGATAAAGCGCTCTGACCTGTCGCGTCTGATGCTATCACTTTACACCCATCAGGTACAAGACGAGATGAGGCGCTGCTTTGGGAGATGCTGTCCAAAGGAGAAGAAAGGACGGAAAGTGCCCAGGAAAGCCAGAGGGTCAAGTACTCAGGAGGTAAAGAGACAGAAAAAAAATCGACATCTCCCACACTGCTTTGCGGTTACCCATATTGTTTTGAATTTACTCGAAATGCCTTGCGGTTAGAAACACTGAAAAACAGGCAAGATAAAAGAAATACATTGTTCTCTTGGAATAATACAGAGATAACTTTAAATGCAGCTTCGACCAATTACGAATATAAAACAATAGTCAATTTTACATTTCACAGGTGGAGATCAGAGGCTCATAACATTGTCTAAACAGTCTTTATTCCAATATCTTACTCCTACAGACTTGGCTTGGCGATTTCAAAGAACCAAAGGAAAGCCTAAGCCTGAGCACTACAAGGGATACGACGACGAGCAACATTTTATTGGGCAGCGCAGGTTTTCACAACATCGCGGATGAGGTTTTGAAGGAAAATTCCTCCTACAGCACTAATTACAAGGGAACAGTAGACAACCGACTATACGACGATTGGGCTAGCCTGAGTTATGGTCAGAAGCGAAGAAAATCTAAGGTTGCGCCTGACATACTACCATAATGTCTACTATGGCGTTTAAACAAATGGAGCAGTGGCATAGAAAGGGAAACGAAAATTACACGTAGAACACTAGATTAAAATATACTTTAGCAAGTAACATACAATACAAAAGTAATGCTTATATATAACTCTAATGTAATGTAATGTGATGCTAATTCATATATGTATGAGTTATTACTATTATTCGTATTACAATGAACGAGCTAAACTCATGTATGACTAGTTTTCATTGCATTTTATGAAATCGTTTATCATTGGAAGAAGTATAGCATTAGTACACAATTCACGATGCCCTACATATCTTGTATAGACAAGAACAATATTGTGTGTTCAGTACGTAATTATAAAGCTTAATTCAACATTATAAAGTCTAACAATAAACAGTGCGTTACCTTCAACCGTGTGTCATCGAGTTCTTATGTCATGTATTGTATAAACTAATATGAAAATGTCCTTAGTAATGTACTACTATCATCTATACTAATCACATTTGGACATGTATGGTATATACTGAGAAATCAAAGCCATGGACTGGTTTGATGTTTTGCATACCAATTCATACAAGAATTTTTCCAAGCCCAGATTTTTCATTAATTATTCAAGTATTCTTAAATAAAAACGACCGAAAAATAAGGTTTGGTCCATTGATATGTGCAGGTAAAAATGTCAGAAAATAGCTACCAATTCCCTACATGATATCCAGTTGCTTGAGTAACTGTTCTTTGTGTCAACTAAGTCTATTCTGATACCAATATGACCTTCACTTAAGGTCACAGGTCACTCATTAACAACGTTCAGTGAACACCTAAATATAGACAGTACCAATCAGGACAGGGTGTTGTACTATACACATTACCTTCTATAGATAACCTCTATGAACTGTATCTTTCGTGACATACACTTTAATTGGACAATATTGAACAATATTGAAAAAGGAGTGATGGTCTCTTCTGCAAATTCGAACAATGAACTACATGGGGAGTACCGTTTTCACACGACGTGGCATTCAGTCATGTACCGGAGTGTTTACGACGAATAGATTCTCCTGTTGTAGCAACCAAATAATAGAAACACCTGGCGAACAGTTAACATCTGGCTGTAACTTTGAACGGTAAAGGTTCACACGACACAGCGGTCATTTATGTATCAAGTACAGATAATTGACTCTCTTGTTGCGGCAAGAATTGTAGCATGGGGCATCTGGTCCGACTGGTAGGACAGACGTCACCATGACGTGTGCTGCTCACAAGATAGCTGGAGGTGTAGCCATTCCAGGTGAACAATGAGACGGCTCACAAAAACACACAGTTGTAGATAAGACTATAAGTACTTCCTCTGACGTGCAGAATAGAAATAGCTCCCAGTGTTTTCTGTGGGAACTCCGGATGATGCAGAGAATCTAAAGGAGACAGTGGACTGGGTGGATTTTGGAAGATTTACGATCTAAAAGCCCCCTGGATCAAGTGGGATAATGGCAGTGCACCCTTGGCTCGCCACGTCTGTAGCAGTTGTGTGCCTGTACTTAAGACTCGAGGCACACGCACAAAGTAAGCTCAGATTTATCATGTTATTGTTAGTCAAAATTGTAATGACTATACTATCTTTAGGGAATATGCTGTTGATTTAACCGACATTTGAAGACGGAATCTAGCCATGGCAGTGTAGCCTATTTGGCTCTGTTTAAGTTCGCCAACCTGCCTGCGGTTGCCAATTGACAGGGGCAGAGGAGGGGACAAAGAAAACATGTATGAACAAACTTTACTTTCAGGGGTAACTAAAACATTGAAGGATTGTTGGATACACATACACTGGATACCCATACGCTTGCTTGTAAGCCGAAATACCCAAGCAGCGTCAACACACAAAGTGTGAAACCTGATCTACAATTGCGAGAGGCAAAATTTCAGTTCAGACGTATTTTTTCTTGCCTACGTACATCGTGTTGAAAAGTACAGGTTGGGTACATGGGTTTTACCTTTTACTGTAATGTTTGATGCCTCACGTCCGATTTAGACGTGTTGAGATTTATATGTAGTGTAAAAGAATCCCGACATGGCACCTCTTGTACCCTGATACTTCTTCCTACCCAAGGTCATTTCCGGGTGATTTTGTCAGGAACTAGCCAAGTGAACCACTAATAGACGATACTTCAAGCAAAGTGATGTTTACTTTCGCAATGTTCATAAAACATTCTATTGAAAATACGTATCTTGTTGAGGTTTTTACACTAACAGCATTGCATAACTATACGGATTCGCCACGATTTGACGGGAATGGTAATGCACTAATTGCATATAGATGCCCTGCCATGAAATTGGCCCTTTGCACCTGCCAATTTGAGATGGGAATTTTGTGATATATGTTCTGAATCCCTTCTCATCTTCAAGAGTTAAAACTCTTTAAAAAAACTCAACAAATACAGGCTTTCTCGTTTTGTAATCTCCCAGATTGTCGTCACATCCGTTTATGGACAAATTACCTTCTATTACCCGCCTGACAAAGATACATTTCTAAGTATCATCCCTAGTAGTTACGGCCGTCTTTCTCTTTTCACATGCTCACCTCGAGCGAAAAGAGGGAGGCGGGCTAACATTACATTTTCTTCTAGCTTGTGCCAGCTGGACAGAATGGCTGGACGGTGACGATCCAGTGGGCACTGGAGACTGGGAGCTCCTCGCGGACCTTCAGAGAGAATACCCTGGACGGATCTGTGCCAACACCACGGGTATCCAGGCCCGTGTCCGAGGCTCACACGTGGAGGCGTTCGAGACAGAAGAGACGTTTGTGGTGCTGAACGCGCGGGAGGGGTTCGGCTGTAGAAACGACATGCAGAGCGACTGTCTGTGCCAGGATTATGAAGTTCGGTTTTGCTGCACAGAGTCTGGTATGTAGATTTCACTTGGTTTGAGCCGACCTAAGGTTCCAAGTGATGATGATGTATATCGAAAATACCGAATAATTCTTAGGAGCTTCCCTGACCCTATGGCTATAAATCGCAATACAACTAGATAGTGCCTGGACATTTTAACATATAAATTTGTGTTTATTATCTGACATCAGACATTGAATAATGACAAATTTGAATTTCCAAGAACCTGTATCAAGAAATATGGCTCTCTAGTCTCTACCTGGTTTTCAACTTTGAACTGAAAATATTGTACTGCCCTAAAAAGATTAAAATTACCAATCCTGTTTTTGCTAACAATTGGCTGACAATTTTTGATCTGGTTTACAAACTATTTGATATCACCTAGATGCCTCGTCCAGTGACACCGCTCTGCAAAGTCAAGACACAACACAAGTTCCGACCGGTAAGTCAATAATAATGAGAACACACAAATTTTTGTTATATTTTCAACATTATTCCTGTACATGTAGAACTGTAATCAAATTAGAGATGGTACTTAGTGAACCGTAAGATATAAGGCTGTCAGACAAGATTTCTTTCAAAATGGCGCCTTCCCAAAGTGAACCATGACTTGTTACGTGACAGGTTCTGTCGCAATCATATTTTGTCATATATGCGATGTTCAAGATGGCTGTGAATGTATTTCGAAACATAGGTGATATTGGGGATATCGATGATTCGAAGACCGTCTTGAATCATATATTTCATGTAAAAATGAAAACACATATTGTAAAATATCATGGTCTAACTGTTTTCGTAGGTGTATGTAATGATTTATGGGTCAATTGTTAATTTTTTTGCACTGAAATACTAGAGGTTTTCACGTAATCCTGAAGTAACAGACTTTGATATAAAATTGTTACATACATACTCACTTTTTAACCCCGCTGTTATGACATGTAGCAGCTACAATATCCCTTATAGTGACTATTTTCATATCACTAGTAAAAATTGTTGATAATCTAAATACTTTCTCTGTACGGTACATTAAAATAAACCAATGATGAAATTTCTATCTTTATTGTGTAGATCGCTATAAGTACAGTGGCCCCTGGGTTGAATTCAACAACAGCTCGTACATCTTCTCTGGGAACACGAGGGTACCGTGGGACCACGCCAGCCTAACTTGTCAAGACCTGTTCGCGAATCTGGTCAGCATACAGTCACAGGAAGAACAGAACTTCATTAACGGTGAGTGTAAGAACCAATCACGAGCCCTTCTTGGTTGATTCAATTATATTCAATACGTGCTTGGGTTAAAAGAAATTTGCTTCGGTTGAGATTAATTGAGATCACATTTACTTTTTGCCGGAGCATACTATTATACATATAACTTCAATTCTCCTAACACATAATTGTAAGACAGTTGCGTCTGTATATTTCCTGTCTCAAGACTTTAGAAACTTACTTTTCTTATGGTACTACAGACTTCATCGTGCGTACAACAAGCCTGGGGGCAGAGAACTGTACCTCCGGACAGATCAACACAATGTACTGTGATCCAGGTACGTCTAGATATGGGAATCAAACATTGCTTTTAGGTTTCAGACATGATTGCAGACTTTATCAGTCCATAAACAGTATACGTCAGGGATAATGCCTCCAGGGAGAGTAATATCCTAGTTAGTGAACCTGAGAAAAAAGTCTATAGCTAGGATATTGTGAAGCTTGTTTTGATCAATATAGTTTACAGCACAAAATAGAACCCTAAACTTGGTTACTGAAACAACCCATACCCAATTGAAAGTAGTATCATAAGTAGTACAAACTTGATTTAAGCTCAACTATTTTTCATGCAGATGAAAATATAACCATTGGGCTGTTATGCAGAGGAGATCTAACATCGTGTTCTTGGAGTGACGGATCGAGTTTGGTAATATAACGTTCTTATAGCCTCTGTAACGTACTTGCAAATGCAGAACGTCTTTTCTAGAGCTTTGCCAGGCGCTTTCAATTCAAGTAAATAGAGGAGTTGAAAGACATACCTAACACTATAAGAAGACAAATAAATAAGACACAAGTAGAGTTACATACTCGGACTAGTAGTTTGCAGACATTCTAATATAGATCGATCCTGTATATACCCTTCCCACCTCCGTCAACAAGTAGAAATTGTTGGAAGGACACGGAGCCACACTCTCATCGGTTGAATCGCTTATTGCCATACTCTCATTGGTTGTCTTGCTAATTGCCATGCTATCATTGGTTGAATCATAGCCAATTGTGAGGAACAGTCCGGATTGGTCCGGATTGCTCGTGATGCCTGTCACACCTGTTTTGCCAGATGTACGAGAACTGGGAAGAACAGCCCAACCCACATGGAGACAACAGATGTGGCACACTGAACATGACCGACGGAAAGTGGAAGATTTCTTCGTGCAGCCGCCCCAGGCCGTTCATCTGTGAAAGAGTATCGGCAGTTGTCAACATCTCCGCCTCGCCCTTCGATGGATGTGGAGTCCATTCGTCTTGCATTGGAAGTGAAATCGAAGGGTTGTACGGGTGTAGATGCCACAGTGGTTACGGCAGTGATGGTTTCTCTTGCCAAGGTTCGTGTGAACTATAGTATGTATACGATCACTGCTTTGTTAAGTCAACTCTCAAAATTATGTCGGGTACTTCGGTGCCTTCATAGCTCTTCTCAAGAACATCACACTGTAACCGCAACTTAGTAAAATTCTAACTTCTTGTGCATGCAATGTTTTGTTTTGTTGTTGTTGCGGATATTGATGAGTGCAGTGACGGTACACATAACTGTCACCCAAACGCCAAGTGCCTCAACACTGCAGGCTCCTTTTCGTGTAAATGCAAACCTGGATTCACAGGAAACGGTACCTCGTGCTCAGGTATATATCTAGTACATTATTAAGATGTTCTTTCTGCACGTTGCATGGAAATCAACAGGTTCTGAGGTTAAAACAGAATCATTGACAGTACCCTCGATTGTTTTTCAAGGTCGTAACTTGTGTTGTGTTGCTTCAGATGTGGATGAATGTGTAGCAACGGCACCTTGCGACCCGATGGCGAACTGCACCAACACGGTCGGTTCCTTTCTCTGTCAGTGTAGGACCGGATATACGGGGAACGGCACGTCTTGTACAGGTATGTAACAGTTGATGAAATGCTCATGACGATGACAAATAAAAATATCTTTGGCGTGAAATATAAACATTGCTTCTTGTTTTCGATGATCTTAACGTATTGAGGTTAGATTTAGCATCAAATTTAAATACCACATACAACGTCAGAAATATAATTTACATGAGGTGATTACAGATATTGACGAATGTACCACGAGTGCGCACAACTGCCATCAGAATGCGGATTGCACCAACTCTGACGGGTCCTTCGCCTGTGCTTGTAACACTGGATACACTGGGAACGGGTTGTGGTGCGAAGGTTAGTACAGTGAGTGAAAAACCGGTCGACGAGGACAGCCATCATTGTGAGCTAGTGACAGGCTAGGTTGCATTATAAAGTAATACAATTTACCCTGATGACTAGGCTTCAGTCTTGCAACTTGGAGTAGGATAGCGTTCTATTTTCTACTTTTATTCAATGCCCTCCAAAACGTACATTAATTTGTAGATGCAGACTCTAGATTTCTAGATGTTCACGATTTCTTGTCGTCTTTGGTACATCACACAGACATCAACGAATGTGACAGGGATACAGCCGGCTGCCACCCGAACGCCACTTGCACCAACATCCATGGGTCTTTCTCCTGTGTTTGTGACACAGGTTACAGTGGGAACGGTAGCTTCTGCACAGGTGAGTCAGTAGATTGCAGGTATCTAATACTATTATCACGTATTGTTCACAAAAATTGGTTCTTTGACACTACATGCAATCTTTATGTACTAGTTTGGCAATACCGGTGTTTCTGCCTTTCTACAGATGTAGACGAGTGTACCCAAGGAATTGCCATGTGTGATCCCAACGCCACCTGTACCAACACTGCAGGGTCCTACATGTGCGAATGCATCGACGGATTTACAGGAAACGGTTCATATTGTACAGGTATGTTAGTAGTAGTTCAGGTATGTTAGTAGTAGTTCAGGTATGTTAGTAGTAGTTCAGGTATGTTACTAGTAGTTCAAGTATGTCGCCAGGGGTTACCTTTTAAAGGCTACCTGTGCCTAATTGTTTATTCAAGATGTTTGCTACCTAAATTCCGTAACATCAGGCACAGTATCTATTGACATATTCATTTTCTTCACCCAGATATGTTCCGTAACTTTGGAGTTTTATTTGTTGGTCTTTTTTTCTGTTACAGATATTGATGAGTGCAAAGATGCTTCAAACAACTGTCATTCTGACGCAACGTGCACCAACAGTGAAGGGTCGTTCTACTGCGAATGTAATGTTGGGTACACCGGGAATGGCACCTCTTGTTTTGGTAAGTGGACAACTCTATATGTGATAAACTGACTATGTCGACATGCAGTTAAACTCTGGAATACACGACAAATGAATGCATCTAACACCGTACTCAAGAGAGTAAAAACACAATTTCACAGCGTCGTAGAATCAGTAACAACTGACATTGACAAGGCATTGTAAGTCAAAACCTTTAATATGCAACTTCTTCGACTTATGTCATGTTACAGATATAAACGAATGTAGTGTAGAAACGACCAGTAAACATACCTGCGCTGAAGATGCCACCTGCACAAACACAGACGGGTCGTTCTTCTGTTTGTGCAACCTTGGATACACAGGGGACGGCACATCGTGTACGGGTAGGTAAAATTGCAACAAATAACTCAATTAATAACTTAATTAGTAGACCTAAATATATTCATATATTCCTTAATGGGAGTGCTTAGCTAACAGACAATTCGTATCTTGGTGATTATTTATCAGATGTAACAAATTTCATATTCTGATATGTTTAACTCAAATGCCCTAATAAAAGACCGTGAGTAAATGTCATTGTTCAAACAATAGTATGACAATGCGAAACAATGGATTGTAAATTTTATGATTCTTCTTCTTATGTTCTTAATTCTACAGTATAGCTATTGAGTTAGTCATGTGGTCGTAGCGCCCGCCCTCTAGCGCTATCAATTTGAACTGCAAATCTCATTTATCTCAGATGTCGACGAATGTGCCAGAGATACAACTGTCTGCCATTCAAACGCTATCTGCACCAACACCGATGGGTCTTACACCTGTACATGTGGTACTGGATATCATGGAAACGGTACACACTGCACCGGTAAGGAAGTCCTCTGGACATCGTTTGCCTTCTTTGATTTGGAATGGGGTTTTGCTGTAACTGAACACAAGCGCTGAAGTATTTCATACTGAATATCATCATGCGTTTTCTGTACGATTACAGCTGGAACTACATGTGAAACATCGTCCTGTTCCTCTTGCAGTTATTGAAGTACTATTATAGAGATCATATAAAACATTTTCCGTATGATTCTGTATAATTTCAATCATGCAGCAACAGTGGTAAGTTAGAGTGTGTAATGGTACGTTATTTCAGATATTGAGGAGTGCGACACCGGTGCTGACAACTGCCATCCTAACGCCGCGTGCGTCAACACTGCCGGGTCCTTCTCATGCTCCTGCAACAGCGGGTATACAGGGAACGGCACGTCGTGCACAGGTCAGTTAACGTTCAGGATATGCCGTATGCAATCAATATAGTTTAACTAATCACATGCTTGGACCCACCAGACATGTCAGATTAAACAATTGCAACATTTCCAAGAGATTGCACAGCAATTGTAGCAGGTAAAATGTATGGCAGATAATATTTAAATGAAACCTGTTGTCATCAAGTACAGTATGAGCATCCTTACTTGATACTTTAAATAACGCTTAGGATTAGATGTGCAATGGCTGGATGTGATCAAATGTTTGCTACAATAGAAAATGCGTTCCCTGTCTTCGTTATATGTGCCTGCGATGCGCGTGTGTGCTACGCCAAGGGTGGTTATATATACCACCGGCCTTGCAAATACAGCTACATTTTACATAATTATGCCAATTCCAATGTACCTACTGACGATGACGGAGGGACCACGCTTGCATTCGTAAATATGTTTTTGCATGAAATGTCATTATTGTACAACTCTGACGTTTTCTTAATATTTATCACAGATGTTGATGAATGTGCATCAGAGCCTGAAAACAACTGCGATCAAAACGCCGTCTGCAGTAATACTGACGGATCCTTCCTGTGTTTGTGCGATGTCGGATACGCAGGCAATGGTACACTTTGCGCAGGTAAATATTCTCTAGTCTAATATCCTCCTAATATACCTATTTGTAGAAAGACACACTGCAATCAGCAAAAGCAGTTTCTACAATATATGACAAATATTGCATTCCATCCTTGTATCATATAGCACATAGATCTAACAGACTTCTCCGATGATTGACATGATTTCAGATATAGACGAATGCACCACGAATGTCCACAACTGCCACCCTAACGCTACCTGCATCAACACTAGAGGGTCCTTTACCTGCCAGTGCAACACTGGGTACCGGGGAAACGGCACGTTTTGTACAGGTCAGTTTGATGAAGAAGGAAGGATCGGTAGCAACGGTTCTTTCTTTAAAATTTGCTATAAGCTGATTCTTGATATTCACTGCTTGATTGTATACGAGACCATTATATCATGTATTAACTCTGTTGCTCGACAATGAAGGGTACGTATAGAAGCTTTTATCACCTTTAAACAGCAATTCTAGTAATCTAGTCTACTAAACAACAGACAGTGTAGTGTGGGATGAGACAATATGTTACTTGTACAGTCTTTGGTGCATTTTTGATAACTTTGATTGATTGATTTATTAATTAATTGATTGGTTGTCTGGGACAATTAGAAAATATTTATTGTTAATTGACTTTCAGACATTGATGAATGCTCTGACGATTTACGAAGCTGCCATCCGAACTCGGCCTGTACGAACACGGACGGGTCGTTCTCCTGCACCTGTAATCCTGGTTATGTTGGAAACGGCGCGACTTGCACAGGTAACTACCTTAGACTACATACCTTTGGCCAGTTAAACCATGTTAAATTTCCCAGAGTGTTTCACAATGCACAGATGAGGGTCTGAATATGTATTGTAAGTGATATTTGGTATCATTTGCAACTATAGCTATTCCTAGTTATAAGTATTCCTATTAAAATTTTAGGAGGAAAGTGTATGTTAACGGTGTGAAAGTCATCATCAGGTCGGGCGAATTGCCCGGACCAAGTCCACTCTTTCTCGCCATGCCGCTCTGTCCGCCATTAACTGCCCTAGGTGTTCGGCCCTCACCCCAGCATCTTCGGCAAGTTGATCAATGAAGGTACGATGGGGTCGCCCTGCGCTGGAGTGTCCATGGGTTGGTGCCCAGAGTAACAGCTCACTGGCGAGCTCGTCTTTGTGTCTGTAGCAGTGTCCAGCAAATCTGGCCCTCCTCTCCCGCATGGTGGCTGACACAGATGGTAGAGTCCCATACAGTTCTGCCTTGGTCGGATGATTTTTCCAGCATTTGTTGAGCACTGCACGTAACATACGTGTGTACGTTCCGTCAAGTTTGTTCTCAAGTTTCCTTGTCAGTGTCCACGTTGATGAGCCATACAGAAGCACAGATTCCACCACCGCCCTGAAGAAATTCCTTTTAATGTTGTCTGACAATGTGGATTTCCATATTGTCCTTAGGTCGTTAAGTGCCCCCCAAGCTTTTGCTATGCGAATGCAGACGTCCTTCTCAGTGGAAGAAATGTCACCTCCCAAATAGGTGAAATGTTCCACCTCATTGAGATAGGTTCCATTCAGGGACTGAATCTTGCCATGTTGGTTAAAGCAGATATATTCAGTCTCTTTGGCATTGACATACAGTCCTATCCCGGATGCAGCCTCTTCCAGTGCATGTAGTAGGATTTCCACATCTGCGACTCTGTTTGCAAGAAGCGCAAGGTCATCTGCATAGTCAGTATCTGTGATCCTCTTGGCAGGGTGCCTTCTACTCCTAGCTCGCTCCAAAGTGAAACCGAGCTTGTTGTGTGGGTCGACAGAGGTACGCAGAATATAATCTAATGCAATGATGAAGAGAAATGGCGCAAGGGTGTCCCCTTGTAGCACTCCAGCATGAATGTTGAAAAAGTATGTGTCCCCGTCAGGTGATCGAACCATGGATCTTGTGTCCTTGTAGAGCATCATCACAGCGTCTACTT